TCGATGGTGGACTGCATGAACAAATGGCGCAGTTGATTGAGATCGCTGCGGTAGGGAGAGATTATTCCGCTCTGTGACGCCGACAATACTGCGAAGCCCAAGGGGCGATTTGTGCGCTTTAAGTGCATAGTACAAATATGGCAGCGTGTCTTTGTGTGTATATCCCCACCGATGATTCCAGAGCGCATGATGTTCTAGAATATCTGCGACAAAGTTAAGAGGCACATCATAGGTAGGGTTGTCCAAATGAGCAGATAGATGAGACAGGTACCAATTTTTACAACAGATTGCCAAGTTATGTGAGGTCTTGTCAACAGGAACAATAACAAAGTGTTGTTGAAGGTGTCTCAAAGCCCTGTGCACTGAGTGAAGGGAGTGCGGTTGTCGTATGGTAGTGTGGGGGGATGAGATGTTGCTTTGGGAACGTGTGAGAATGACTGAGCGCCACAACTGCAATTTGTTAAGAGCGGTCGACCGAAGCTGCTCGGAGACCGACCTCAGGTATTTAGCAATATACTCGTCATTAAGACGATACTTCGAGCCTTCATGGAACAAGTCGCGGAGGCGATCATCAGGAATGATGCCACAGTCGACTGTAACAATATGGTCGTCGACTAAGTGTGAGCAGTCAGGAAACACTTTCCGACATTGACAGTCTGAGGGGTGAACCACGGAGATCCCAGGCGTGACACTGAGCGTAACTTCCGTGAAATTAAAGAAGTGGACGTGAGTTGGCGGCAACAACTTATCACAGATACGCAGGTGTGCTGCGACATCAGGGTCAGGGTGCAAGTGGAGCACCTCGGGTGCATGCAAGGCTTGTCGCAGCCCCGTTACCTGAGACACCTCGTGCATGTGCACAACTTTAATATGATCAAGAAAGGCATCTCGAGACTGAGTTGTGTATCGTTGGCGGACATGTTGATGCTTCCGAATCAGGCATTCAAGCTGACGGATATGCGCAGTCATATCTGCATTGGAGATATTATTGCTCAACCACTGCAGCAAGCGGGCAAGCCAAACTGATGTTGCTTGTTGGATGACAGATTCCATCTGTTGCGAATTACCAGCAGCAGCCTGTGAGAGAAGATTGTGCAATGCAGACCGGACTTGRAAGTCGGGGCCTGGACGCAAATCAATAGGCTGGGGTTGTTAATGGTCTGACGGATGAGGGCTTGTTTGTGTCCACCGATGAGGACGGCGTTGTTGTCTTCTTGCAGGTAGGCGAGCAAGCGGCAGGACAGCGTTGAGACCAGCTGGATGAAGAGTCCGCAACCGTCGCACCCAATAGGCTTCCCGTGTCGTAGCAGCCCGCCCGAAAAAGGTTATGGTCAACAAGACCTTGCGGTGTATGGTAAAGGGCCGGGTCAATACGTTCCAAGGGCCAAACTGCAAAATTGAAGGGGTTTTGACAAGACATGACAATGTAGAGCCGGCGACGCCGAAACTCTGCAGCAGAACGACGAACATGCCAATGTCACTGCAAACGTTGATGTGAGGAGTGCATAGTCTGGCCTATGTAAAGACGCCAGAGGGGATATGAACGATGGCATAGATCACTCCCCGGACAGAGAGAGGGTCCATACCTGGTTGCAGTGCCTGCTGATCAATGCCTCTCAGCTGCAATTCGAAACGCTCTGTTTGAATCACCGTGTTAAGTTGTTGCAACTGCCTCTTGCGCCAAGTGCCTGCAGAGTAGAGGTCAGTATTCTAGTGAAGATGCCGTATCCAATCAACGCGACGTGTGGAATCAGCGTGTAGATGAGGTTGGGAGGAAAAAGAAGAGAAGAGTCGATGATTATTATGAGAAACTATACCTAAAGTAGTGTCGACAGGAAATCTCCCCAAAATTCCCTGATCCACCATGCGTAATGCAGTGTCAACAGGAAATCTACCAAGGATTCCTTGACCTGTGTTGCTTGGAACTACGCCTACCATGCTAGTAGTAGGAAACTTCCCGAGAATACCCTGATTAATCCTTTGTGTTGAATTCATTGGTTTTAACGTAATGTTTATTTTTTTTGAAATTTTTCATTTTTTGGTAAGAGAAGAAACGAAGAGGTGCACAAAAAGGCAGGGTTTCAGGTCCGGCGGCCAGTTCGGGAACTGATCCTGCCGCCGTCCTGTTCGTATGGTATTCACCATTAGCAGTGARCCAACAGAATGTTGGTTCATGTATGACTCTGCATCCCCCGGTGAGTGTGTCGTGACCCAGTGTGATCCAATGTGATCCTAGTGCTCACAGCCTTGCACCGACAGACCAACAGTGTCAGTTCAGCRAAAGCAAGCCAACCTGTARGCTTTATTAATGTGTGCGGATTACACGAAAGAGTGCGATACGAAGAGGTGAGATGGGCATGGGGGCTGCCACCCGGGTTTGGCTAACCTTAGGTGGGCTGTAGCTATACCCACTACAAGGGAAAAGGGTCACAACCTGTGTCCTTGCGGTGACCGCCACCACAGTCCTTATGTGCACAATACCTTATACAATAACAAAACCGTAGCACCAAGCAATGTACCAGATCAAACACTTAACAGGGCTAGTATTGTCCAAGCATAAAGAAAATAATCACAAAGTAGCAGGTTATTAGAGAGCCCGCCGAATGAAATACAGCCCCTGAAAGGACTCAAGAAGCAATGAGAGAACAGGGGGCAGAATGCTGAACGCAGATTGACAATACGCAATCTATACATCAATGAAAGACATCAATTGAAGATTCAATTGAAGAATCACCTGGTTGGGCCCGGCTGTGCAAGTGGTTGTGCGCCACTGTGGTAGCCTTGGTAGCCTAGAAACTTACAAATTAATATTGACGAAGCAATTGCGATCCTGTGGAAAAAGTACAAAAACTCATACCGACGAAAATCCGCAGCCTCCAATTGCTCATAGCGTATGTCGGTCTCCCAGTTCACCAAATCACTACACGGATAAAGAAAACGAAAGGAACTGATAGCTCTCTACAATGTAAAATGTGCCCGCTCAGGATAGAAGAGAACATAACTCACTGCCTGATCAAGTGCACACAGGCTGTTTCGTTCTGGGGCAGAGCTTCTAGGCTATGGTTCCCCCTTTTCACAATCCCCCCCCCTACAACAGCACTAACAACCTTGCTTGCCACTACAATCCCCACGTACCTGCAGGGTGTGGCGATGGTATGTACTTGGTCAACAGAAAGGTCACTTCATGGACAATCACACTGATGCTAGATGGACAAGAAATGGACAAAGAAGCAGCTAGGAAACATCTGATGGATCTGATGGAGTTGGAGATCAGATGCCGATGGTACAAGATCACCGGGTTCAGGAAGGTCCGCCCCCCGCTATCTGGGGCCAAAACAGAGGTTTTCGCATGTGCTTGGCTATCAAATGGAAGGGTGGAACAATCGACAACAATAAGAATGCGTCCTCCCTCTCCTCAGTGGCAATAGCATGATCCTCCCATTCATCATTTGAATTCATTTCCTATTAAATAGTATGGTAACATCCAACAGTAATAGGCGGCATATAGGCACAGTAGGGAACAGAAGCTGGAATACAGGTAACATGTTATGGGCTGGGTAGGAGGGGGTATGTTGTAGTCTACGTGGGGTATGCTGGGATCTGGATGGCTATAGATGTGGCATGCGCATTGGGCACTCTCGGATGTACACAATACTGCTACAGGTATTCTCCCCTATTGATATCGGGTGGGCCGCAGTCTAGCTGGCGCTCCGGTACAGACGTAGTGACATCGAGGGTTAATGGAATGGAATGGTGTAATGCTGGTCCCCTGTTGCAATGCATAGGTGTTATGCAGTGGTAAAAAAACCAGCACGGCATGCTGCAGAATATGTTCATACCTGCAATGACATGGTCAGGATGTGGATACGATGTGGTGGAACCTAAGCATGAAAAAGCACTAAGTTGCAATCAATGCCAAGCAGGCTAAGAAGGAATGATTGCAATAAATAAATAAATAAAAAGGAATGATTGGCATTGATTGCATCATTGCACCCAGCCCATGAATTGTTGATAAACAGACCTGCGTTCGAACTCTGATGGGATCAGATGAATGAATTAACTCTGGGGTCGGTAATGATAACTCAAGGCGGTCGCACACTAGAAAAAATTCAAAAAGAAAGGGAATGCCAGCTATCTCTGATCAAAGTCTGGATTTGGAGCCCACCGGGCTCACTTGTGTCCTCCCTCTCCCGCCATGCTTGTTTGCTTATTCAACATTAACTGAAGTTTACATCTTCACAAGCAACATTGCCTATTGACATCGAATCGCCTCAAAACAGGTTGAAAAGATCGAAGAGACTCTGAGAGAAGCAAGAAGTTAAGATTATGAGGGCATTTGAGTCACAACCGGCCACCACGTAAAGCTGATGAGGGCGCAGCACATCTGAAACTGAATTGAAATTTGAAATATGGACAGTGCAGGCAATGCACCAAAACCTGGAGTCTCTGTGCCTCCCTGTCTTCCTCTCTGTCTGTGTGCCTCCCTGCCTACATCCCTTCTTCTCTCTCTCTCTCTCTCTCTCTCTCTCTCTCTCTCTCTCTCTCTCTCTCTCTCTCTC